ATAAACACCCGAGGTTGGGGGGGGGGGGAGGAGAATCAGTAGGCTCCATGTGCTTTTTTTGAGTAGTCTTTTGCTGATTAAGAATAAGTTTCCCTTAGCCAGTATCCTATTTCTGACAAGTCAGAATGAATATCTCTTCTTAAGGGGAATAAATAATATCTTACCAGATTGCTTGATTAGAGACAAGCTTGTAGGCCACAAATAATATTGGTTGATTTAACGAGGTTTTATGGAATCTTGCTTTGCTTAAATGCTTGGCTCATTATTGCAGCAGAGGTATTATAGCTAGAATTTGTTTAATTGACCTCATAGGGGATCTTCAAGGGAGCAGGAGTAATTTAAGGGAGTTGTTTGTTTGCTTTAACTGGTTTGGGTTTTTTTTTTGCACTTGTAAATGTCTGATTTTATTTACTCTAAGGCTGCTGGGTTTTCTAGTGCTTATCTATTAATGTAGAATAAATACGTTCTTTGATAATGTTTGATAATCGCAGAATAAGCGTGTCTTGATCTAGAAGAATGCTAGTCCTTTGAAAGGTTGATAGTGTGATTAGCATTCCCCAATTAAAATCCAAGCCTGAAACTTGAGGTTGAGCATAAATATTTTCTGTAAAACCGTAATGCCAAGTTTGCTAAATACTTCTGTTCTTTTAAAATTAGCATTGACGATGCACTTCAGGTTAAGATTACAGACAACGCCCTATCTCGAGACCTATTTCCTATGGACTACCATTGCCTGGGAGATAACGAAAACAGACCCGTTCGATGGATGGCTCTTGAAAGCCTGGTTAACAATGAATTTTCCAGTGCAAGTGATGTGGTAAGTTTGTGGGTTTTTTCCTCTTACGTTTTGTAAATGTGTTGTGTTGACATTTTTCCCTTTTTTTCAGCCGTTGGAGAACCATGGCACTGAATAGTGATTTGTCCAGAGCAGCATCCATACGTCTGCTTATGCTTGTGGCAGATGAAAGGTCGAGTGGGCCCTTGCATGGCAAAATTGCCCATCGCACGCTGTTCTCCTTGGCAGCGTTAGCAGAAAAGGCAATTAAATTCAGTGAGCAATCTGTATTGGGACTTGTCTCCTCTTTTGAACGAACGTGATCCAAAGTCCACAACAGAGTCTTTCAGTTGCAGTCTCACAGATGGAGAAAAGAGGGGAAGAATTACTTCCCTCGGCCTGCTGGCTATGCTTATGCAAATGCAGCGCAGAATGCAGCTGGCTGCTTTTGATTCAAGGGCATGCTACTGATGCCTTTGGCTTGTTCGCGAGGTCCTCTTCTGCAAAGCCACTTTTTAGGCGCTCAGCCCCAGCCAGTCCTGGTGCATGGAGCTATTCCCTCCCAAATGCAGGATTTTGCATGGGCTTTCCTTGAACTTTGAGGTTCCTGTCAGCTCATTTCTCCAGCTTCTTGAGGTCCTTCTGCAGAATCCTGTCCTCCATATCATCCACAAACTTCTTGAGCATCCAGGTTGTTACTGAAGATAAACCAGTATTGATTCCTGAGCAATGCCACTAGTAACCAGCTGCTAGTTGGACTACTGCTGCTGGTAACAGCAATTTGAGGCCAGGAGTGCAGCTACTCTAATGTCAACAGCTCACTGATTTGGTATAAGGATGCTGTGGAAGATAATGTCAAAAGCCTTGCTGAAGTCAAGGTGGACATCCATTGCTCACCCTGTGTCCGCTAACGCTGTCTTCTCAGCAAAGAGCTAGTCAGATTAGTCAGGCACAGTTTGCCCTCGATAAATCCACGCTGGCTGTTCTCAGAGACTGTTATGCTTCATATGCATGGAAGCGACCTCCAGGATCACATGCTCCCCAGCGTTAGCAGGCACTGGTGTTAGACTACCTGGCCCATAGTTCCCCAGATCCCACCTCTTCAAGAGGATGCCTTTTTTTTCAGTTGTCAGCAACCTCCCCCAGGCAGTGGCCTTTCCAAGATGACGA